GCTGCTACTGCTACTTGGTGAACTAGCTGGAATACTTATGCTTTCAGCACTTGAAAGAGACTGTATATATAAATTAAATGTCAGTATCATGTAACTAACACCAAGTTAGGATATCACACTGAGCTAATAATTACCTGAGGTCCATCATCCCAAATACTATAAAGCAGCACATGCTGCCCAACTTTCATTAGTGGCAACAGCTTATTAATGTGCTCTCTCCTGAGAGATTTGAGAATGCCCTCACTTACTATCCCTTCCTCCTCCATGATTTTAATGCTAGCGCTTGTCATCCCCATTCCGGCAAGCCTCTCTCTAAAATACTCACGCTCAGTCTGCTCAGAATCCATTATGGGACTAGTCCTGTAGTCTGTAGAGCCTTTCACTTTATCAAAGAACTACAACTAGCTCGATAACTAGCTAAACTTCGAGCTAAACAACAAATCGCCCGTGCCTCAAGTTTCTTTTCCTTTGATCACGTGACCACCACGTGCCAACACATGTGTTCATGAACAGGAAAATGAAAGAAACGATACTTGTGAACAGGAAACGACACTTGTGGACAGGAAATGTCGCTTTGGGCCACCGTAGTTTGCAGAGTCAAGCAACCTGCAAAGCACTGTACCATTGTGAGTCGCGTTGTGACTGGATCCATTTGACCGATTGTGACACTCTGGTGGTGACTCCATTAAAACTCTAAGGATTCTAAGACTCCAGAGAGATTCAAAAGAGGGTCGTACGAGATTTCAAGCCCGTTACGGACGTACCGCTAAACCTGAGCGCTGAGCTAGCTATTTTAAGCTAGCTGCTGATAGGGCAGAAAAGCCAGAAATTGAAGTTGGCTGAGCCCCTCCTACTTCAATGAGATCATCAGATCACGTGGGCGTTGTTATTGAGCCCCACCTTTTTTGCAAAGCTTAAGCTCATGGCAGGGATAAAAAGAAAGTCTTCTAACGAATTGGAAGGAAACGAAAAGGAAAACTGAGCTTGAAGCTCTTCTATGTAAGTATTTTCTGGATCATAATGATAGATGTACATAATGATACCTGGTCAGGTCCGCCTGACTAAGTGATACCTGTACCAGCAGACAATACAAATCAATTGCAAAGTAGATGTGAGTATATACTTTATATATTTAATAGTTACTGATCTTGTTGAAGTACTTGATTTACTAAGAAGTAATGGTTATTCAGGAGTTAGTTACTATAATCTTGGTCTTTATCTTGGTCTAAACTCTGCTACACTGGATGTTATTACAAAGAATAATAAAGGAGATGTTGAGAGTTGTCTACGTGAGTGTCTTACTAAATGGTTACTGAAAGCTGATGATGTACAGAAGACTAAAGGTGGTTCTACTATCTATTCATTGGTAGCAGCATTGAGGAAACTAGGAGAAAATGGAGTAGCAGATGGAATAGATATGGAGAGTAAGTTCAATTAAAAAAGCAATGTTTTAATATTCATTAATAGAACATCCTGCTTGTAAAATTCTTGCTCATTGCTCAGATCAGCAGTCATCACTTGCATCTGCATTACCTCAGTTGGTTAGAGATTTGCGTACAGCAAAACTGATAAAAGAGAAAACCTCTTCAACTGATATACAAGGACATGCTCTGTTAACTGAAATAAAGGAAGCTGTTTGTAATGATTACCAAAAACTTGAAGCACTTGCTGAAATTTTATTGAAAAACAGGCTAACTGCTGAGACAGGAACTGTCATTATAAAAGAATACAGTAAGTGTATCCATCATCTATAGTATTTTTACTCTGCATGCATTAACAAAATTTTACACCTCAAAAATAACTATGTTATCTAATACCATATTTCCTGGGGTTTTAGTTTCACTAATTTTAAAATATTTACAAAATTTTTATTTCTGAAAATTATTTCTTTTTATCCAGTGAAAAAACACAATAATTATGATACTCAAAAAAATTGAAATATGATTTTTGTGAAATAGTTTCCCTGGGAAATATACTCCCTATACGGTATGCTATCTATTGTAATTTCTTTTAAAAGGAGAAGTATATTGCTGCAATGAGTTGAGATACACAGATTGTAAGTATTGTTTTTTGCTTGTTTTTTCATTATAATTCTAATACAGCTATCTGCCCAAAATTTGATTTTCCTCCTCCAATGGCTAAAGTTCTTAAATTGTTACGTTTTAAACGTAGCAATATGTTCAGAAATGTGGGATCAATTATTGCAAACAAATGCGACCCTGATTCTACAGTTAATGATATCAGAGGTATCTTGAGATTTAACAGTAGCACATTTCAACAGCAATTAGCTCAGTGTCGAAGTATACATGACATTTTAGAATTAATTAGTGATAATAGTTCATTAACTGACATTTGTATGCTGGAGTTTTTGGTTGGTACACTTAATATAGATGAGGCTAAAGAAGTCGTCCGTGATTATAATGAAGCTGTTGAGGAGCTTAATAAAAATCAATCTCTGGAAGAAATATTGTCAAACGTCTCACCACTTCAATGTGAAACGATCACCATTCTTGTTGATAAAAAAGATGCCGAATTGATACTTGATGATGTCACAATATATTTACGAAATCTTTTTCTAAAATTCTCACCTCATATCAGGGTATATGCGAATGATGCAGATAATTCTGTCAATATCGCTTGTTCCTTCCCTTTGATTCTATCTGAGCAGTTAATTACAACTGCTCTTAATGATATTGATGTATTGAAAGAAAACAAAGTGAAGAGATTAACCATTGGATACTGCACTGTGTATGAGGCAAATAGACTATTTTATGAACTGATATTTATTATTAATAACAGGTAAATGACACCTCCACTCCTACTACGACATAGATAGATGAACATCAATTTTCCATATTAATATCAACTAGAAGTGGTTTATTGAAGCAATTGATGCTGTCATTGAGTGTACAACTGATTAATAGTAAAGAGGAGGTGGATACTTTAAATGAGGTATGACTTGCATAGGAATTCATCCTATTAAATAAATGAAGTATATATAATTGCAATGCATACTAGGCAGTTAAACTGATTCTATCTTGTACAGTTTGTTAATTTTACTTATTTCATAGGAAATTATGAAAATGAAGAAAGAAGAAAAATTTTTGAAGGAAGAAGCAGAGTCATTGAAGAAAACACTAGATACTAAAAACAAAATTCTGAGTGCCAGTATAGCAGAGAGTCATAGGTTCAAAAGAATAGCAGGTATAAATTATGTCATTGTGATAGTTCACTAAATTTATTATTAGCTGAGACAAAGCAGTTACTACACGAGAAAGAATCACATTTAACAGAACGTGAAGAAGTTAGTGAGAAATGTGAACTATTTCATTGTTAAGATAATGATATAATAGGAGAATGAGAAACTGAAAATAAGAAATGAAATATTAGAAGAGCAACTTGCTTTATTCCAAGCTGAGAAAAAAGGTACCAGTATGCCAAATATTTAAAACATGATTAAAATGAGTTTTCTTATGTACATCACTCTACCGGTATGTGTATAGGTGGACACAATGAGAGGATTGAACAGTATGCTGAAGTATCACATCAACATGTTAATGAAAGTATAATATAATGTACTATCATTGCTAATTTGATGCATTTATATGTAAAACATGATTATAGTTAAGAGTAATCAAGAAATAGAATTGTTACAAGAGAAAATCACAATAATGAGCTTACAACAAATTGAGAAAGAAAAAAAAATGCAAGGTAATTAATATCAAACTTGCTGTCAATTTCATTTTTTATTAACAATAGAAAAAGAAAATCTGTTGAAGCTGACGATTGATAGTTTAACAAGAAGTGTGTTTGATACTTTAATAATTTTTACTGTTGAGTTGTGCTTATCTCATAATAGAATTTGAGCAATCACAAAATTCACTAAAACAAGCTGAGAGTAGAGAAAATACATTGCAAGAAAAAATATCACAAATGAGTCAAGAAAACGAAGCAAGAATGCAAGGTATTTCTACATGACAGTAATTTAGTGTTATTATAATAAAGGCTTGGTAATAGCAGGACGTAATAGTTTATATTTATGTATATCTATGGTCATCCCTTTTCCACATACATGTCAGTAACATCATTTACTCTTGCTATTAACAAGAGTAGATAATAATTAGAGGGAAAATGAAGTATACATATAGGTTACAAATCCCACAGAAATTTCTAACTCAGTACATAAAGCTTACACTAGCTTAAC